GAAACAAAAGGAGTGGTTTGAAAGCATCACAAAATACACTGAGACATTTCAAAATGATGTGAAACAATGGATTTACAGCACTGAACAAAACTCAACGGAGTACAAATCCAAACCAAAGGAAAACTTAAATGAAATGAGAAATGTGCCCTCAGTGTCAAATGAAAAGGAACAAATGAATGGAAATGAACAAGAGTCAACTCAAAGCAATGAATGTATGGATTTTGAAACAAATTTGCTTAAAATGACTGTGGTAAACAGTGACCTATGTACTGCACAGGTGGACAAATGCATAAAAATCATGTTACATGGAGAAAGCCTTATCATGGCCTCCAATTAAAGCTGACGATGTAAAAATGCTGCAGGACTACAGCCTATTCCTCAGGGGTTGTTGTAATGCCATGCAAGATGTACAGTATCTCCATGATCTGGACATGCCATCTAACATGCTGATTATCATTAAGAAACTGCCTTATAAGCTCAGAGACAGGTGGCGGAGCCAGGCATGTGAACTACAAGAAAGGCAACAACGAAGAGCTGGATTTCACAACATTGCCGACTTCATTGAAAAGCAAGTGAAAATACTCACTGATCCAGTCTTTGGAAATATTCAAGATCCTCCTATATTTTCCATGAATCCAAGCAAACCCAAGGCATTTCCCAGGCCCAGGGGTTCCAGCTTCGCTACTTCCATCAGTCCAGCAGAGAACAAGACCTGGTCCACCAGACAAGAGAACGGCTCACAGACACCAGGAAGAAATACTTGCATTTGTTGTGGAGCAGGACACGAACTTTTTAAATGTGTACAGTTGGGGAAGATGGATCATGAGAAAAGGATAGACTTCCTGAAGGAAAAGGGCATCTGCTTTGGTTGCTTGTGCACAGGGCACATAAGTAAGCACTGTCGAAAGAGGTTGTCTTGCTCAAAGTGCAGCCGCAAACACCCTACTGTCCTGCATAAAGAATCTATGTCTGGTGCTCAGCAGACAGAGGCAAGAACCGAGGTCTGTGATATGTTGGTGTCGAGTGGGTTTACAGGGGCTGGAGACCATGATTGTAAGCTACCAATCGTCCCAGTTCAAGTAAAGTCCTCAAAAGGTAGCAAAATCGTCACCACATATGCATTTTTGGACCAAGGAAGCACTGCTTTGTTTTGTACAAAGAGTCTTACACACGAACTTAATGTAACAGGAAGAAAAGGCCACATACTGCTGCGAACTATGGGCCAAGAAAAGATCGTTACCAGTAACGTGGTGTTAGGATTGGAGGTTGCTGCACTGCATGGGGAAGAGTTTCTCGAGCTGCCCAAAGTCTACACGCAGGAGTCCATGCCAGTGTATAAAGGCAATATCCCCATGAAAGGAGATATTGACAAATGGCCACATTTAAGACACATTCACTTGCCACAGATCGATGCAGGAATTGAGCTCCTGATAGGAACCAATGTGCCAAAAGCTTTGGAGCCATTGGAAGTGGTCTGCAGTGTGGATGGAGGACCATTTGCAACAAAAACAAGGCTGGGATGGACTGTGAATGGCCCACTGGGAGGAGGCAGTGGGGAGCCAGAGAGTGGAACACCACATGCATCAGTCAACAGAGTATCAGTGATCAACTTGGATGAACTATGGCAGCAGCAGTTTAAAAACGATTTCCCTGAAACAAATAAGGACGAGCAACCCGCCATGTCAAGAGACGATCTGAAATTTATGGACTCAGTCGCCAACTCTGTGAAACATCTAGATGGCCATTATCAAATCAGTTTACCACTGCGACGCAGCACTACTCGTATGCCAAGCAATAGAAAGGTTGTTGAGCAGCGTCTAAAACATCTCAAACAAAGGCTGCAGAAGGACACAACATTTTTCAATGAGTACAACACCTTTATCAATGAGTTGCTGATCACAGGTCATGCTGAAATGGTGCCAGAGGAGGAGTTGGACCGAGGAGATGGGAAAGTATGGTACATCCCACATCATGGTGTTTACCATCCCACCAAGAGAAAGTTGAGAGTTGTGTTCGACTGTGGAGCAACTTATCAAGGAACATCACTAAATGCTCAACTCTTGCAAGGCCCAGATCTGACGAGCTCGTTAATCGGCGTGGTGACCCGCTTCAGGAAGGAGCCAGTGGTGATAATGGCAGATGTCATGGAAGTCAATGTTCCATCAAGTCCGGGTACCTCCCGAAGATTCAGATCTACTCAGATTCCTGTGGTGGCAGGATGGGAATCTAGAGCAAGAACTAGTTGTGTATCGGATGAGAGTGCACATATTTGGAGCCACATCATCACCCAGTTGTGCCAACTATGCTCTCAAGAGGTGCGCTGATGACTACGGGCATCTCTATAGCCAGGACTAGTTCGAAAAGGAATCTGGCAGTGGGAGATCTTGTACTCATCGTGGACAGGGCTGCACCCCGAAACTCATGACCCCTCGGACGCATTATTCAAGTTTTCCCAGATAGAAAAGGATTCGTTCGTCAAGTTCGCATAAAGACCAGGAGCGGCTGTTGGGACAGGCCCATAACTAAAGTTTGTTTGCTGCAGGAGGAGTCTG